TCTGGTGCCACTTAACCGCTTGTGTGACCCGTTGGTGGGAGACGTCATGACTCTCCCGAACATCAGTAGTTTTGGGTCATTTTTGTTGGAAGATGGGGAGACGGCCCTGATCAGTTCAGAAGATGTGCGCTGTTTCTTTTATCTGTTCAGGGTTCCGAGTTCCTGGAAACGCTTCCTTGGATTCAACCGTCTCGTCCCCCCATCCCTGGTTCCTGATGCGTGGCGTGGACGCCCCTGCGTGCTTACTGCGTGTGTGTTGCCTATGGGATTCCTCAACAGCGTGTCCATTGCACAGCACGTACACCGGAACATTGTCACCTGGAGCCAGCAAGACAGCAAAACATTGGGGGGAGCTTGTGAAATGCGCAAAGACAGGGTTAGCAGCACAGCCAAGCACCAGTATAGGGTTTACTTGGACAACTTTGATTTGGTAGAGCGCTTTGATCCAGCTACAGCCAAAGCAGTTGGGGGTTGCGTAGCCCAAGCGGTGCAAGACCTGAGAGAGCAGTACGCCTCACAGGGCATCCCACGTCACCCGAAGAAGGCCGTGGAACGAGCTCCGGTTGCGGAGATTCAAGGGGCCATTCTGGATGGTGTTGAAGGGTTTGCCCAACCCAAGGCGGGTAAGGTCACATTGTATTGCAGGTTGGCCGTGATGCTGGCAGAGAGAGGCAGCTGTACTCTAAAGGAACTTCAAGTCGTGTGTGGGGGTTTCGTGTACTTCACCATGTTCCGGAGGCCTTTATTGGGTATTCTGAATGAGGTGTGGAGGTTCATGGAGAAACTGAAGCACCTGCCGCCTGTTGTCCGGCTCCCGGTACCCGTGGGAGTCCAGAGAGAGTTGATGATCTTCACTTTGTTGACCCCTCTGGCACAGATTGACTTCCGGTGTCCTTTCATGGACCACGTGACGTGCAGTGATGCATCCACGTCAGGCGGAGGAGTGTGTGTGAGCGAAGGCTTGACTGGTTATGGCATGACGGCTTTGAACACGGAGAGTCGTGGTGATCTCCCGCTTGAGGGGGAGGTTCTGCAAGTGTTGACTGTGGGACTGTTTGATGGTTTGGGGGCGTTGAGACTGGCAGTCGATAGCCTGGGAGTTGGAGTGGCCGGCCACCTGAGCGTTGAGAAGGAGCCAACAGGTCGTCGCTTCGTTGAAGCTTTCTTCCCAGATACCATATTTCATGATGACGTCACGACAGTGGACGACAAGATGGTCAAAGGCTTGGCAATGCGATTCCCATCCGTGCCTCTCATCCTGATAGGTGCGGGACCGCCTTGTCAAGGCGTGAGCGGGCTCAACGCCTCAAAGAAGGGAGCCTTGCGAGATGCTCGTAGCAGCCTCTTCCAGGAAGTCCCCCGTATCAAGGAGCTCTTCAAGATCCACTTTCCCTGGGCCCAGGTGAGGTTGTTGATGGAATCAGTCGCCTCTATGGGAGAAGAAGATCGCCGCATTATGAGCGCCGCAGTGGGGTTGCAACCATACAAGATTGACTCTGGCAGCATTAGTCTGTGTCATCGTCCTCGCCTATACTGGGTGGATTGGGACTTGTCAGAGGGAGAGGGCGTCACCGTTACCCCTCCCGTGGTGGATTCGGAGTGGACCGGTTGTGGGTTGGTTGAACTGAAGGCCCAGGTGGAGGAGCAGGCCTTCTTGGAGCAGGGATGGTTCGTCACGGAGGGCTACCGTCTGCCAACCTTTACAACCTCGCGCCCGCGTGAGGAGCCGGGGTTCCGGCCAGCTGGGCTGGGACGGTGTGCGCCACATGAGCGACAACGGTGGGTAGATGATGGCTATCGCTTTCCCCCGTACCAGTATCGGGATCACAATCTCCTTTGGACCCGGAAAGGTGCAGCACGGAGAGCGAATGTCCAAGAGAGGGAGGCCATCATGTGCATACCGGTTGGTTATACTCGGCCTTGCCTCCCGAAGAACCAACAGACTGGAGCCCTATGGGAAGACACTCGACTGTCGTTGATAGGCAACTCCTGGCATGTGGGAGTGATCACTTGGCTCTTGGAACACCTCCTTGGACCCCTTGGTTTCTGTCGACGGCACAACCTCCAGCAGATCGTGGATCGCTTGACACCAGGCCGCAGTGGCACGTTACAAGGTATTCTGCTTCGCCCGCCCTTGACCTCGAACAAGACGCTTGTGGAGTCGCATGAGAAACCGCTGTTGTTGAAGTTGCTTGGGCTGGTGTCCATGAAAGGTGAAGATCTCATGGTCACGGCTGTCAGTGAGCCCCAGGTCAAGTTCCACAGATTGCGTTCGAGCGTGCCCGCAAATTTGTGGAGGTGGCGTGAGGTCACCGGTTGGCATTGGCGACATTCAGGGGAACATATCAACGTGCTTGAACTACGGGCTATCCTTACTACATTGAGGTGGTTGGTGGTCCGTCGAGGTGGACACAGCAAACGTTTCCTACATTTGACGGACAGTCTGGTGTGCTTGCATAGTTTGTCGCGTGGTCGGAGCTCGTCTAGAAAGTTGAGACATGTGCTGATGCGGATCAACTCGCTCATCCTTGCTGCGGACCTCCACCCCATCTGGGGATACGTGCATACAGCTCAAAACCCCGCCGACCGGCCTAGCCGGCGGCCGCTACAGCGAAAATGGGGAAAGTAAAGCAGCACTTGGAGGGCCATAGCAAGGAAGAACGAGCGAAAAACAGACGAGCATTGGGAAGCCTGCGTGAACTCACAGTACAACCCCAGACCAGGAAACGATACAGCCTCGCAAAGCAAAAGTTCTATGACTACGCTCACACCAACGGCCTGAGTATTCCCACCAAGTTTTCGGCTTTCGATGATATGCTGGCCGACTACGTTGAACACTTATGGAGTGAGGGAGAGGGGCGTGCCTTGGCAAGTGACACGGTCGCGGGTTTTCAAGACACAGAACCACGCTTGAAAGGGCAACTTCAGGTCACATGGAGGCTCCTGAAGACGTGGCACGTCAATGAAATACCCAGTCGTGCACCCCCGCTCCCGGAAGAGTGCCTTCAGGCAATGCTGGGCTGGTGCCTTTTCCATGAAGAGTACGCCTTCGGCTTGAGCCTGTTGTTAGGTTTTTACGGACTGCTGCGTACGGGGGAGATTCTTGGATTATGCAATCACCATATTTTGATGACATCTCCCGATAAACCTGCAGTAATTTCGTTGGGCCTGACAAAGTCAGGAAAGCGAGCTGGCGCTTCTGAGAGTGTTACCATTTCTGTGACAAGTGCCCTTCAGTGGCTTTGGGCATGGAAGAATGCATCCTCCTCGCGCTGCCCCCTTACCCCTGCACCACACCAATGGCGAAAGAAATTCTCTGAGTGTGTGAAGGCGTTGCATTTAGAGCAATTCGAGTTCCGCCCTTACAGCCTTCGTAGGGGTGGGGCGACCTGTTGGTTTGGGCGTCACGGATCCTTAGACAGGATCATAGTGTTGGGTAGGTGGGCCGCGGCTCGCACCGCCCGCATTTACATCAATGAAGGGCTAGCCATGGTGGCCTCTTTAAAAATTCCCCGGAAATCGTTGGTCCCATTTCTCCGAACGTTTCACCAGCATGACTTGAACCTTTTGCCGAGAGCGCTTGAGCGTGCTAAAGCAGGGAAGGGGGAGGTGGAAGTGAGGTGTTTTTTGCCAGTGCGGGGAGGAAATTAATTTCGTGTCTAGAGAAAGACTTTAAAGGT